AAAAAAAAAAAAAAAAATCTTTCCATTAGTTTGGCAGTTACACATTGTTTTTAAAAATTATTTTAGTAATCAAAGTTGGTGGTGTACCTTCTCAGTTTTTACTCTGAAAATATCTTTATTTTGCCTTTTTTTTTTTAAGATTTTATTTATGTATTTGACAGAGAGAGAGTGTGTGTGTGAGAACATGAAAGGGGGGGTAGGGGCAGAGGGCGAGGAAGAAGCAGACTTCCTGCTGAGCAGGGAGCCCGATGTGGGGCTTGATCCCAGGACCCCAGGATCATGACCTGAGCTGAAGGCAGACGCTTAACCAACTAAGCCACTCAGGTGCCCTTGTCTTTGGTTTTGAAGGATGTTTTCATGGGGTTTAGAAATCTAGGTTGGCATTTTTTTTTCAGCACGTAGATGTTTCATCGTCATCTGGATTTCACTGTTGTGCTAGAAGATAAGCAATCAGCCAAACTGTCACCCTTTTTAAGATAATCTATTTTTTTCCAGGCTGTTTTTAAGATTTTTGTCATTAGTTTCCTGTCATTTCAAGATAATGTATCTAGATATAAATTTCTTTTTATCAGGTTTTAGATTCATTTGGATTTTTGAATATTTGTTATCTTACATTAATAATTTCTGGTAAATTCTCTGTCAAAATTTTAAAAAATATTGCCTCTGCTTCCCCCACCACTTTTTGGAACTCCGAAAAATGTGAGAGCTTCTCACTGTACCCTTTGTACTTCTTATTCTCTTTTTATGTATATTGGTTTTTTTCTCTCTTTATACTTCCTTCTGGATTTTATTCCAGTCTATCTTCCAGTTCACTGGTTCTCTAAGATGACTATATTTGATCTAAATCCATCCATTAGGTTCTTATTTTGGGTTTTATTTTTTTCAATTCAGGAATTTCCAATTGTTTCTTTTTCAAATCTGCTATGTCACTTTTTATAGTTTCTAGTTCCCTTTTAAATTTTTCAAGCTTCCCTTTAACTATTTGAATGTAATAGCATACCTATATTGAGTCAATGTCTAATAATTCTAATATCTGGAGATGTGCTGTTGTTGCCTGTTCTTTGTGCTGGTTCTTGCTTACAACTGTCTTGTCTCCTCATGTATCTGGTACTTACTGATTATGCGCTAGACACTGTATCTGAAAAATTATTTATATGGGATTGTTTGTTTACTCTGGTTCACTCTTATTCCTATGGTATATCCCTTTAGATTTTTTATCAAAGATGGGAATAGTTTACCAGTGTCCACACTGTCCCTTTGCCCTGCAAGGCTTTTCAAAAGTGAAGTTCAGCCTCTCAGGTGCCTTTTCCAGATGGGCATAAAAATGTGTAAGCTACAGAATCATGTTTTTGCCAAGACTTTAAAATCAAAGGAACTTGGAAAGTAGCTTTGGCAAATGTAGATATAGTTACAGAGTAGATAATGTAGCTGAAGTTATAGACACCCAAAGTAAAACATCAAATCATTAATAAAGCAAAGAAGGCTTTTGAGTTAAATAGCTGGCAATTAAGTAGTATTAGGAAAAACGGAAAAAGCATACATGATAAAAAATCAAGAGGTGCATTTATTTTCTCACCATTTTCTGCCAATGGAGCAAGAACTTCAAAAATCATTTCCCTTTTATCATGTTCTATTTGTTTCTTGAAGAGTTTTACCAGCTCTTCAGCAATGTTCGTACTGGCAAACTGTTCTTTACTTGACTCTGCAAAACAGGAGGTAACCTTAGAGTAAACACACAAAATTAAATGCAGAAATTGTATTCTATTACTTTCAATACATGCTCATTTTGTACCATTACTGATAAATACAAATACTCTTCAAGTACAGGAACTATCAGATACATCTTAAATGCTCCTGAAAAGGAAAAATGGCTTTAAAGAAAATGTTCCAACCCAGTTTTATTCAACGCTATAAAAAAATGTTCACTAGCATAACATATAGGTAACCATAGCAACAATTAAACTACTAAGTTATAAATTCATAGTTTCAATGCTTTTAGTCAAAGAAGAAAAACTGCTCATAACAGACTGCATTTTACAAGGCTGAAGTAAAGATAACTTATCATTATGTTTAGATCATTAAAATGGTATGCTCTTGTGCTGGTCCTGACATGCCTACTATTAAAGGTCAATTCTTCACATGTACGTGGGGTCTCAATCCCTCCTGCCTCTTCAGCATTTCCAATCTCTCCTCACTCTGGGGCCCACCATCAGCATTTAAATATGCTCTAATATTTCTCACACAAAAAAGCAATATTAAAAACAACTTTCTCGGAGCACCTGGGTGGCTCAGTTGGTTGAGCCTCCAACTCTTGGTCTCAGGTCATGATCTCGTGGGTCGTGGGATTCAGCCCCCCCAACAGAAATCCATGCTCAGCAGGGAGTCTGCCTGAAGATTCTCTCCCTATCCCTCCACTCACACACATGTGCTCAAATAATCTTTAAAAACAATAAAAATAAAAACAACTATCTTCTACTTTACTTTTCAACTACCATCCAATCTCTGTTCAGTTTCACAAACAAGTTTCTTGCTAGCACCATCTACATATACTGTCTCTACTTTCTCAACTCGTCTGCACTTTTTTTTAAATATTTAAGAGAGAAAGAGAGAGTGAGAGAGAGAGAGAGAGCACAAGAAGGGGGAGCAGCAGAGAGAGAGGGAGAAGCAGGCTCCCCACGGAGCAAGGAGCCCGACGGGGGGCTTGATCCCAAGATTTCGGGATCATGACCCGAGCCAAAGGCAGACGCTCAATTAAACCCACTTCAAACTAATTTTGGCCCTCCTGCTCCTCCCCTTCTATCAGACCTCTATAAATTCCAGTTCCTTGGGACTTGATCCTTTTCTTTATCTTTTAGGTCCTTACTTTCATTCCAGACAATCTAATTCTCTTCCATAGCAACAAAATAGCACCTATACCTTGATCCTTGTACAATCCTATCTCTAGCCCTCTTCTGTACTTCAAGCTACTTATTTAACTGGCCACCTGACATCTCCATGTGAATATCCCCCTCTCGTATCCAGGCTCAATGTCTAAAATTAGGACTTTCAGTATTACCTGAAATCTGTTTTTCTTCCAGAGTTCCCTTACTTCCTTTACTTGGTAAATGAACAGTCCATCTATCCATCTATGCACGAAGAAACCTAGCAGTCACTGATCACTTGTTCTCATTTAACTTTATCTCCAGTGAATTACCAAATTCTACCAATTTGCCTCCAAAATACAACTGGAATCCATTCCATTTCTCTCCAGTTATCTTCTTAATTTCTTTTGCTGCCTCAGATGTCCTAATAATTTATCCAGAATTTTCAGAGAATTCTGACCAAATCCAATCTAGATTTGTTACTCTCTGTGTGTTGGGGGCACAGCTGACATCCTAGAATTTCTTTTTATCATTATCTTGCTAGATACTTTCCTTCCAGTATTAGATACTCTATTATCTACATCCTTTTGCTTTCACTTGTTTTGATTTGGTATAAGCATCTTCCAAATCCACTCCCTATAATACTACGTATAGGAGGCAAATATTTTAAAATCTTGACTGTCTGAAAATGCTTTATCTCACCTAGAGTTTATGTCTCTAATTTAAATTATTCTCTCATCTCATTCCATTACTCTCGTACTAGCAATTATCACAATTTGTAACTATATGATTGTTTGTAAAATTGTTTAAAATGTTTCCATCTCTCCCACGAAGCCATAAGCTCCTTGAGGGCAAGGACAGTGCTTATTAACTACCACAAACACTATGTACAGTATAGTGCCATATATAGCATCCAACATAATGTCTGACTGAATGTGTGACTGAATGAACAATTAAATAAACACAAGAGGTAGGTTCTGCTCTCTAGTTTCAACCTCTGCTGATATCAACTAAATGTTCAACCAACTGAGACACCCAGGTACCTCTAAAGTTATTTTTATCAAAATTATGTATGAGCTTAAAGAGATACTTAGTTCTAATACTTATATTACCAGAAGAATCCAGTCTCCTCCCATTTTTCCTTCTCAGAAGCCAAGCACATAAAGCTCTTTTAGCTAAGTCATTGGTATTTACCTTCATATTTTTAAATAACATATTTGTATTGACACTTTTTGATTTTTTAGTTTTAAGTATTTTTGATTGACTTTCCAATATAAACAATTAGGCCTTCGCTTTCTCTTATTTCCCCCCTACCAAAGCCTTCACCTTCTCAATATAATTATAATTTTGGTTATATCAGTAATTAGTGTTTTAATAATAGAGTATTTCATTTTCCCTAGAATTATTTTTTGTTCCTCTGGGATTTTTTTTTTCATTTGCTTAGTTTTCTATGTACTTATCATTAATTCAGCTCCACACTCCAAACTGTTGATTAGCTGTCTGATCTTCTCTTAAGAAGCTCACTTTAGGTAATCAATCAATTTCATCTCCTCTAAGAATTACCCTAACCCCAACTCTAGCAGCCTCTGACTTGTTCCAATCTGGACTAGTTGGTCTTTGAGAACAGGCCATTTGGGGCTCTCATGTCACCATCCTACTAGGAATTCTTCTTTTCCTGTTGGATCTCTTGTCTCCTGATTTCTATGTAGTCTTCTTTCTTAATTTAAATCCTTTGCTTTGGTGGAACACATTTTCCAGTGGCTTCCAGAAAGGTATGTAGGTTATTAATTTTCTGAGATGTTCATGTTTGATAATGTCTTTATTATAACTTCACACTTGTTTGACAGTTTGATTTGGTATAGAATTCTATATTGGAAATAATTTTCCCTCCAATTTTTGAAGGCAGTACTTTATTTTCTTCTGGCTGCCAGTGTTTTGAGACATCTAATGTCTACATATTCACAGTTTCTTGTATGCAACTTTTTGTCCTCTAAGTTTGTAAGATGTTCTTCGCCCTATTTTAAAATTTCAAACAGATGTGCCATGATCTGGGTCTATTTTCAATTAGGCTAGGCATTTGACAGACCCAATCATGCAAAATTATGTACGTTAGTTCTGTGATACTTAAGTTATTTAGCAATGGTCTGCTTATCTATTTCTAAAACTTTTGGCCTAATTCTCCATCTGTATTTTCTCTTCTATTTTTTTTTTTTAAGATTTTATTTATTTATTTGAGAGAAAGAGAATGAGAGATAGAGAGCATGAGAGGGAAGAGGGTCAGAGGGAGAAGCAAACTCCCTGCCTAGCAGGGAGCCCGATGTGGGACTCGATCCCAGGACTCCGAGATCATGACCTGAGCCGAAGGCAGTTGCTTAACCATCTGAGCCACCCAGGTGCCCCTCTCTTCTATTTTCTATCCTCTTGTTTTTACTTTACTTCTGCAACTATTTCTCCAAACTGTCTTTCATTTTAGCTATTGTTCTTTTAATGTTTAAGACTTTTGTTCTGTTCCTCTTTCTTTAAAAATAGTATCCTTACAGTTTCAAACTTCCAGTATTTTTTCTCACTTACCTGAGTATATTTGCCTTTTCCTCACCCTGCATGGTTTCTATTTTCTCCAAATTGTTTTTTCTATTTATTTCATTACCTTTGATGTTAGAAGCTATCCTTACCTCTCTAATTGTCTATATATTGATTAAAAATTGGGATTTAAGTTGGCTGGGAAGATGGTAGAGTAAGAAGGCCCTAACCTTGCCCTGTCCAATGGATACAACTAGATAATACCCATATCAGCATAAATAACCCAGGAAATGACCTGAAGACTGCAGAACAAACTCTACAACTAAAGGCAGAGAAGAGATCACATCAAAGACTGTAGGAAGGTGGTCTGGGAGCAAAACAAACTGTGGCTGTCCATGGTGGGGAGGGTGCCGATGGCACAGAGAAGGGCAGAACACAGACTTTCACACCAAGGAGCCCATAAACAGGGAGGAAGAATCTCTGTAATATTTACCTCTGATAGTGAGAGGGGCCAAATTTTGTAAGTTCTTAAAACCAGTGGGACTTAAAGCCTGGGATTTTAAAATTCAGAGGCTCAGCTCTGGGACAGCCCAGAAGGCATTAGGAAGTGGAGTTCCTGCCCTTAAAGAGACAGCATGCCAAACAGACTGGGCAGATACAGTGTAAAACCAGCAGTTTGAAAAACGCTGGGGGACAGACAAGGGGGGAGTAATTTGCTCATCTCAGAGCACAGCTGGGAGAGACAAGGATCACGGGGAGACCCCTCCAGGAACAAAGGAGCTGGCAGGTACCATTTCCCTCCTACATTGACAGCCTGGTATCCACATTCCTTACCTAACTTAGTTGCATTAAGGACCCCCACTCCCCACACTTTGGCAGATCTACCTTTCCCAGTCATGCTCACCTCAGTCCCAGTGCTGTGCCCCACACCCTCCTCCCCAGAAGACCAGTGAAAACCCTGCCAATTCCATATCTCCTGATCTGCCCACTTTGTGGGACCTTGGTCCTGGCAGGGGCACGTCTAGTTTTGCAAGTAGACAACCACACACCTTGCTGCATACAGTAGACCAAGAGCCTCTGCAGGCAATTACACTGAAGGAAAAAGAGGCCAAGACTCAACAGCACAGCACATGCAACACACACAGGAGATGGTCCCTGAAGTGCCAGGCCCTGGGGAAAAGGGGACACTGCACTGCAGGGCACTATTGGACCTCTTCTTCATAAGACTATTACTGTTAAGAGCAGGAGAAGTAGCTGACTTTCCTAACACAGATACAGACACAGAAAGTCAGACAAAATGAGACAGAGAAACATTTCCTAA